TAACGTCTCACGTCCACATTTTATTACATTCAATGCACGTACATTATGCAGTCCAGAAAAATGAAAGAATCCGTTTTAACAGTATGAATATATGACAGATATGTTCTACTACACATAGATGAAACGTTGGAACAAAGAGAAACCGTCCAGAGGACCTAACTTGACTTTGTTGGATTTTTTATCAAGATTATTGATCATGACGTTTTATGTGAATTCTGTGATATTTATTTAAATATTAAATAACCATCTGGGAACTAGAATCAAAATCGTTCTTGTTCTGAGGCCTTTTAGTTTAAAGTCTTTGCTCATGCTGCAGAAGCTCTGACGTCAAGTGAGTTGTTGCTGTTTCCAGGTATGGTGTGAAAGCTCCGGTCTATATGAAGAACAAAGACTGTCAGGTGGTGTCAGTGGGGTCAGACGGCAGCTGTGAGTGGCAGAGCGGCACCATCCAACGATTCTCGGACCACATCAGCACCACGTCAAACTGCGGCAGTGCCATCTTCAGGCTCTTTGATCACATCACAGTGAGTCAGCGTCATCAAAAATGCCAAAAGCTGAATTCTTGGCTAACTAGATTTTTTTTAAATAGGTTTAAATTTGTTGTGAATTTAATCTAATAATCACAGAGTCAAAATTATACATACAGGCTCAAATATATCCATATGGTCCACTAATATTCACACAGCCTTCCTGTAAGCTGAAGGAAGGCAGCTCCCCCGGGTTCTCTGCAGTCCTATAACATCAAACTGACTCGTTTTTCTAGCCGGACATAAAGTTGGCCCCTCTTCCTATCGAACTTGTTGTTCATTGGGCTCAGAATGCTGTACGGGACCATCCGAAAAATTATTTTGGTCCAGGACCGCCAGCTTCCATCCCATCAGTCACTGCTGGCTAGGTGGCCCCTCGAGCGGGGGAGTCATTGTCCAAAGGTCCGGCATTTTTTTCTCCAGACCCCAACCAAACTTTTTATCCGTACCTCTGTGGTTCTGCTGATTCGGGCGTCCAGAAGGCATCCTAAACAGATGCCCAAGCCACCTCAACTGGCTCCTCTCGACGTGGAGAAGCAGCGGCTCTACTCCGAGTCCCTCCCGGATGATCGAGCTTCTCACCCTGTCTCTAAGGGAGAGCCCAGACACCCTGCGGAGAAAACTCATTTCGGCCGCTTGTATCCGAGATCTCATTCTTTCGGTCACAACCCTAAGCTCGTGACCATAGATGAGGGTGGGAATGTAGATCGATCGGTAAATTGAGAGCTTCGCCTTTTGACTCAGCTCTCTCTTCACCACGACAGACCTGTACAGCGCCCGCTTCACTGCAGATGCTGCACCTATCCGCCTATCGATCTCACGCTCCATTTTTCCCTCATTCGTGAACAAGACCCCAAGATACTTGAACTCCTCCGCTTGGGATAGGACCTCCTCCCTGACCCGGAGAGGGCACTTTACCCTTTTCCGGCTCAAGACCATGGCCTCGGATTTGGAGGAACTGATCTTCATCCCGGCCGCATCGCATTCGGCTGCGAACCGCTCCAGCGAAAGCTCTAGATCACGATCTGATGAAGCCAATAAGACCACATCATCTGCAAAAAGCAGAGACGCAATCCTAAGGTCACCAAAACCGATCCCCTCAACACCTTAGAAATTCTGTCCATAAAAGTTATGAACAGAATCGGTGACAAAGGGCAACCTTGGCGGAGTCCAACTCTCACAGGGAACAAGCCCGACTTACTGCCGGCGATGTGGACCAGGCTCTGACACCGGTCATACAGGGACCTAACAGCCCGTATCAAAGGGCCTGGTACCCCATACTCCCAGAGTACCCCCCACAGGGCCCCACAGGGCCCCCCGAGGGACGCGGTCGAACGCCTTCTCCAAGTCCACAAAGCACATGTAGACTGGTTGGGCAAACTCCCACGCACCCTCCAGGACCCTGCTGAGAGTGTAGAGCTGGTCCAGTGTTCCACGGCCAGGACGAAAACCGCACTGTTCCTCATGAATCCGAGGTTCGACTATCCGACTGACCCTCCTCTCCAGAACCCCCGAATAGACCTTACCAGGGAGGCTTAAGAGCGTGATTCCCCTGTAGTTGGAACACACTCTACAGTCCCCCTTTTTGAATAGGGGGACCACCACCCCGGTCTGCCAATCCAGGGGAACTTCGCCCGATGTCCACGCAATATTGCAGAGTCGCGTAAGCCAACACAACCCTACAACATCCAGAGCCTTAAGGAACTCTGGGCGGATCTCATCCACCCCATGGGGCCCTGCCACCCAGGAGCTTTTTAACCACCTCGGTGACTTCAGCACCAGAGATTGGAGGGCCCGACCCAGAGTCCCCAGGCTCCGCTTCCTCAGTGGAAGACGTGCCGGTGGGATTGAGGAGGTCTTCAAAGTTTCATCAATTTTTCATCAGTTTTCTTCCATTTATTTTTCAATTTATATGCTTTTTTATGATTGTCTACTTTTGTCATCTGTGTTCTTTGTTTAAAAAAGGTCTCATAAACGAGTCAGAGTCAGACATTCTTTGTTGTTTTTCGCATCACATGTACATGTAGTGGAACGAAATTGTATACACAGGGTCCCAGTTACTTCAAACAATAGCAAAAATATAAAGTGTGAAAAGAAACAGTAAATAAGGATCTGAGATATAAACTAAGATATACGCTAAATGAGTCCTCGGCTCAATGAGAACCTGTATAAATAAAGGTTGAATGAACATACAAAACACACAAAACAAAGCACAACTAGCTTTAAGCATTAACCTTTAATTTAACCATACAATGTAATCATGACAGAAAATGGAGGATTTATCTGCAGTTACCTTCGTACAGAACATATTCAGCTGCTCATGGGGTCGGCCACCAGCCTTTATTCATCTTTTTACATTTTTCCAAACTCCGTTTAGTTTTTGAAATGGAATAAACTGTATTCCACTCTCTAAATGCACAGGGTAACACGTTTGTGAATAACCAAAAAAGTCCATGCTCTATAATCCAGGTATACAATCCAACAATTTTCAGTCAGGTCATCTGGACAGTTTCTCTTTTTTTTGCTGAAATGTTTCACCTTCCATCTGGAAGGCTTCATCAGTCAAGGAAACACAAAACTGTCCAGATGACCTGACTGAAAATTGTTGGACGTGTATGAATAATTATATGTTCCCCGCTGACAACGTTAAACCTTTTTTTTTCTTTAATGATTTTTCCCAGTGCAGCACCTGCAGGTAAGGGGCGTTTGGGTCAAATTGAGGTCGCCAATTGGTCAGTTGCTGACACATCTACTGGAATGACTGACATGTGACGTTGAAGATCTGATTTGTGCAACAACAACAACAACAACAACAAAAAAAAACGAGAGCTGCAGCCGGTCCTGGGTGGAGGAGGGGGTGGCCCAGGAGCAGCTTTAGCGGTGTTCTGTGTTTATATGTGGTTAATAAAAAGCTCTAAAAAATAAAATAAAACCCAGGGAGTGCCAGCCCTGTGGCCCCGCATCAGACCGGCCCACCTAGAAATCTCCAGACACTCCCAATTACCCACGCCGGGCTTGCATCACATCACGGTGCCTTTCCTTTCAACCTAAACAAACCCACACAGTTCGGATGCATCACTCTTTTCTTCAGAATCTGGTCACACCCCGTTGTTGCTGTCATCTCCGCTTATAGGACCGCCCAGCGCCGTCTAGAGCTTTGGAACCTATGTCACTGTGTTGGGGGCGTGTGGGGGCGTTCCCGTCTTGACCACCATTTTTACTGTCCTCAGAGTTTGTCTATGGTGTCACCGCTGTATCCTCCTTCATAACGCTGAAAATCAGCTCAAAACAAAGTGGACTATATCGTGACAAACTTTTCCCAGATGACAAAAAATGGTACATGGAAAAAATAGGTAAAATTGGAAATGTCGCCCGTTTGAAAAATAAAAAAGGAGCAGAGACCCGGAGTAATATTTGCCTCCATTGACATTCCCAGTCATTTTAGCAGACCTGGTGTGTGTCAGTGCTTACACCGCAAATAATTTAAAGAATTACAAGTTACTGGAATCACTTGTCCCATCTATGAACAGCTGGGTGCACGATTTGTACATTTTTAAAGACCCCGGATTGTGAATATGTTGTGGTTAGAACAAAGGTACGTTGTTCTTGGCTCCTGCTGCCTGGAGAAAGTTTCCTTACAAATATAGGACATGCAGCATCCAGCAGGCTGTGGAGGCAGGCAGTGAACTTCACCTGAAGAAACATCATCCATACTATGCACAGGTACATCATCAAACCACTGTGACCTTGTGTGGAGCCAGAAAGACATGGCTGTCGTCTGTGTGTCTCCAGAACAGGAATTAATTTTAAACATACTTTAATGTAATTTAGACGGTTCAAGAGTGGATCCAGTGGACTGACCCTGCCTGACTCAGTCGGAAGATATAACTGCGTATCATCAGCAAAGCAGTGAAAAGGGATGTTGTGTTTTCTAAAAATTGACCCCAAAGGCAACATGTAGAGATTAAAAAGCAGTGGACCTAAAATAGACCCTTGAGGGACCCCACAGATCAGAGGAGCCGCAGATGAAGAACATTTTCCTAAATGAACAGAAAACTCCTGTCAGCCAGGCAGGATCTAAACCAGGATCAAACTGTGCCTTTTATACCGACCACCTTCTCAACTCGTGACAACAAGATGTTGTGGTCCACAGTATCAAAGGCAGCAGAAAGGTCTAAAAGCACTAAAACAGCAGAGCTTCCTGCATTAATGGTTAAAAGAAGGTCATTAAAAACTCTTAATAGGGCTGTCTCTGTGCTGTGGCCTGATTTAAAACCTGACTGGAATTTTTCACCAATGCTGTTGGCAGTTAAAAACCTCTTAAGTTGATTAAAAACAACTTTCTCTAAAATTTTTGACAAAAAAAGGTAGTTTAGAAATACTGTAGGTCTGTAATTTTTTTTTTTTTTTTTTTTTTTTTTTTTTTTTTTTTTTTTTTTTTTTCCCCAATAGGATAGAAAGAAAGAAAAGACAAAGTAAGACTCCAAAATATAAGAAATATATACAAATAGAGCACACGTCAAAACACCCGGCCACTGTCTGTTCACCTGCAAAGAACATGACAAAACATAGCAACAAAATACATATGTATAAAGAACTTAAAATATTCATGGCTTTGCAGTAAGTTTCCATAAATATATATACCCATACCTACGCCTATATACATACATACATACATACACATGAATATACACTCACATACATATCTATATATCTACATATAAAGCCTAAATAAGCATCTCTGCTTCTATTTGTGTGTGGTTGTGAGCATGCATAAGTGTATAAGGCTTCTCTAATAGAACATTTATTAGTAACTGTGAAGCAGCAGAGACCCGACCCCCAAGACCAGAGGCAGATGAAAAAGGGGGGACCAGAGTCAAAGACCCCAGGAGGGACCCCGACCGCGGAGCCCCCAGAGCCACCCACACAGGACGAACCACTCACCCACCCCCCAGAACGGACCACAGGGGAGAACCGGAAGATCCCCACCAGCAACC